TCAGTATAAATAATGGCAAATTACTTTTTTTTTTTTTCTCTTCCGATTCTTTTTTCTCTTCTTTTTTTTTTTTTTTCCCATAAAACAGAATAAAAAAAAGTATAAATCTTTTTCACATAATGCATTGTCTCCATAAATAAGAAATTCATATGTTTATTGACATTCTTTTTTTGTTGTTGTTGGTTTTTTTTGTTTTCTTTTTTGTTTTCTTTAAGTGTTTTATCTGAGCTGTGTACGTATACAAGAATCTGGGGAACTGAGGAACTGGTGGGTTAAAGAATTTTGACTTTTTACTGGAATTGGCAGCAGTCATTTACAATGACGGCTCTGATTTGCATTGCTGTATTCGTATTTACTCTGTTCAGCCATGGAGTGAAGTTCTTTGCTACACTCCTTCTTGATTGTATTTAATTTCAAGGTTCCAACCCAAAGTTAGTCTTCGGATAGATAAACTTTTGAAGAAAACATGGCTGCATCATTTATTTATTTGATTTTATGACTTTTTTTGTTTAAGTAAATTTGTGGTAGGCACACTCTTCTAATCTGCCTGCAACAGCACCCAGAGGCACTCATTATTTTTGGGGTGGCTGTGCAGACATACCAATGACAGAAGGGAAAATGTTTTCATCCAACTAGGAAATCCTGTTTGTATTAGGCAATAAAACACAGGAGGACTAATGGCTGTATTTAATTTCAGACAGTTTAGTAGTCTAGTGAGGTGAACAATAATTCACTGAAGAGTTATGTCTGAGAAGCTGTATGTGGTCATTAGCTTACTTCATCTCTTAACTGCTGAACTGTTCTCAAGCAATAGATTTTGCATTCAAGGACACAGAGGAGGGGTGTGCCCTAGTGGTGTGTGTAGCAAGGAGATTTAGTAAAAGCAGATTCTGTTCACATGGGCACAAGCACTTGCAAGTGAGAGAGGTGGTTCTTCACACAGCACGAAGACTGGTCAGGTCAGGTCTGGAGGGGACAGCTCATGAGGCTTCTCCAACTAATTACGGGCTAGAGTTTCAAAGGTCGCTTAAATACCCAGAGATAAATAAAAATTTTTCAAAACTGCTTAGTAAAGCTTCTCTTCTATTGAAGAAAGTCATAACAAAGGTTTGTTGACTGATGCACTCATCCAGAACGTGTTCTTGCAGTCTTGGCCCTCAGAAGCCCTGTCCACAGCTTCAATAAGGTCCACGCTAAATGTGGAGCCTCAGCCCACAGTGACACCTTCCTTTAAGTCTCTGAGACGTTGCTCTGTACTGTGTCCCAAGGAGAGTACCATGGCACATTTGGCTTTGGGAGTGGACAACACTCCCAAAGTCCTGGAGGCCCAGGACTTACCAGTACCTAGATTTTTTCTAAGCCTAGGTTGGTTTGTGACTCAAATCCAGGACTATACACGCACATACAGAATTTTAAGCCATGTGGTAAGATCATCTTTCAGCTCTGCTGTTTATTTGGCGGACTATATTAATCATATCTAATGGGAGATACAATTCTATTTTGGTGTCAGCAGGTTTTCTCCTGTTGGCATCCCTAGCCTTTCCGCTACCCTGAATACAGATAGAACAGGGGAAACACAATTAGAAGCTAAATTTATCAGATCAGAAAATGTTATTTTTACATACTGCTTATGATAGAAATATTAAAGATATAAGATATGAAGAGATGTGTGTTTTTCTCTTGCAGGCAGCTATAAGCATCTTTTGACATGAAAAAAAATCTTTTTCAAAATCCTTTTCAAAAATCTAATTTTTACTTTCATTTGGGAAAAGAAAATTTCACAGTATGCAAGCTACATTTTTTTTTGATTGGTTGGTTGATTTTTGTTTTGTTTTTAATCACATTAATGCTGGTTAGCTGTGGCCTGAGATCTTGTCCTTGCTTCTATTGGAACTGTGACATTACACAGACAGCATGGCCAATTGCAGATGGAAGTATTCTGAAATATAACTTTACACCTACTCCCAGAGAAATTAAAAACTTTGCAGTTTCTTTAAGTTTTTATCTGTTTGTGGCAGAAGAGTGAAACCAGGATGCAACATGCATCACCTACTTTGTTGGAAATAAGGCAACTAAGAACTAGTCTCAAGAAATATTTCTTCATAGGAGCAACTAGGAAAGAGTCATGCTGATGTTTTCATTTTACTCTCATGGTTTTATTTCTGGCATTGTGGGATGGATTACGGAAGATTGCTTACATACCTAAAAAAGTACCTAGAAATGATGCAACTGTCTCATCCTGTGAAGTGAATGTCATAAGGAAAGACCTCTGATGTGAAATTAGTCTTATCTTCCATTATTTCATTTATTAGCTTTTGACAAATTTGACTTGAAATCTAGATATTCTCCTTAATTTTAGTTCCCACTAGCTGTAGTCCTTCTCTTTCAGTATGTCTCCCTTTTTCAGTTTGCTATTTCATGGATCTGTGTGTTGCCAATAAAGCCAGGGAGAGAAGAGCACAACCATGGTCCAAATGCCCTACCTCAGAGAAGCAGCAGCAGCAAGTAGCACATACCAGTTTATTTCTAGCAGCCAGCTTCTTTTATTCCAGCAGATTGAAATTTGAGCTGTAGCTTTGCTATCAGTCAACACGCCACTGGTATCTGATGAACACTTAACACATAAACTGTACAACCTGGCTCTGACCTGAAAGGGCTTTCTGAAGCAAAACATGAATACTTGTTCTCAGGATTTCTTCTTGGTTCTTGTAAGCTCCTATCTGACCCAGCTGTTCTACACTCCGTGCTGGATCATCTGGTCTTGCCTTGCCACCTCAAATGAAAATTACATTGTTTGATGAAACTCGCTACTGCTCATAAAAAATAAAATAAAATAAAATAAAATAAAATAAAATAAAATCTGTGTGCTTTATATGGTGGCAGCTGCTCTAATGCAACAAGTTATTTTAAGAAAACTATGGAACATAGGGAATTTAGGTCAAGTATATTCTCTAAATGATTCACTACCTTGTTTGTGACTAGTTAGGTAAAGAGTTAGGAGTTATGCTTAAGTTTTACTTTAAGAGTTCCACAGCTGTAAATGCAAACTAATGCTAATTTTCCATGAAAATATTCTGAAATTCATCTGGATTCCCACTCAGTTCTTTAAAAAGCCCTTATGGGTTCTTTGCTGAAATGTCTCAATGAAACCACTGTTTCTGTGCCAGTAAGAACTCTCTTTCTAAGCATGCTTTGTCTCATTTTTTTGATTCCCTAACTGGTCTCTCATCACACTGTGTTTGAAGTAGAGTCAGTTTTGGTTAATACCATTCAGTCCTTTTCTTCCAAACCTTCTAAGAAACCAAACAATTAGGAAATGCTACTGCTTGTTCACAAGACAAGTTTTCAGAAGTGTTGACTGTATACTACCAAACTAAGGGTATTATTGCTGAGGTAAAATTCATTACATTTAATAATTTTATCTTGTTGTAAATGTGATCTCTTCTAACAACTAAGTTTCTTTCCTGTGTCCTAATTTTTGTAGGGTTTCTACTTTCTGGTGTCACACTGCTGCTTTATGTCACAGGTTAAGTTAAAAGTTACTCCACAGCTGAACTCCATAGTTCCTCGTTTGCCTTTGCAATAACAATAATTTTTTGAGAAACTTCTCTGCAGTCAAATCCTTCACTTCTGCAAGGTAGATCTTAACTAAACAGTGAAATATTTTGGCAGTAACCATATTCATTAGAATGAATAGTTATTAGAAATACATTACAATACGGTATGCAACATACTGCTAAAAGCATGTTACTTGGGTTTACTCTGACCCAGTCCTTATGTATAATACTTATCCCTAGAGTTTGGTGAGAGCAGGTTGCAATTCAGTCATAATTCAGTGTACTTTTTGTAATCTTCTCTGGATAGTAAATAAAGTGAAATTCCTACCCTATGCATTTGCATGGTTATAACCATCCAGTTCTGTTTATCCTGCAAAAGACTCAAACAAAATTTGCACTGAAAACCCTTAAAAGGTGCAACAGAGATGAAGCTAATAATGCAACAGCATTTTGTTGCATGGATGGTTCCTGAGGCCACAAAGCCTTTGCTGCTCAAACTACATTGCATAATAAAGAGAATGCAGCCTTGATATATATTTATAGCCCAGTGTCTGTACAGACATGAGTTTTTTTGATTCCTAGGCAGAGTAATTTGTAAGTTAAATATTGTATGGCTATCTAATGTTCTGATTTTAGATAAGGCAATTCTGAATGAATACAATTGCAGCATAAGAGGTGTCCTCCCACACACGTGAGACGTGTTTTCTCTATCTGAAGAGTGCAGAAGTGGTATGTCAGTTCTCCCCACTCTTCCACCCCTAGTGGAGTTCATTGATGAATGCTGTGGCCATATGGTTTGTGGGTGTCTATGTGAACTTTTTTTCCCCAAAAGTTAGCAATTGAAAGGTTCACAACTTTCTACACAGTTCCAATTAAAGGTTCAGCAAAGTCTCATCATGAAAATCTTCAGCTAACGTGTTGATACTTAATTCAATTCTCCATGCTGCAAATAGTTGTCAAGCACAAGAGTTTATTGCTTTATTTTTCTGTGATCCACACTTTTCGTGGTGGGTTTATATTATTTTAATGGAGGTTTCATTTTCTTGCTGTTCTCTGTTTTAGTGTTTGTTGAAGTTCATTCAGTCATATGCAACTCATATAACAGACTTCATAACATTTATTTGTAGTGTTTCTAGTTCATTCTGCAGGGACGGAAGTGAAGCAGGAAGAAAACAGAATTGTCATTTTTTTTTTTTTAACATTTCCTTAAGCAGTATTAGTTGAGCTTCATTCTGCAAAGCAGAACATGACATTACCTGCACATTAGTCACAATTTTCTCTTCAAGCAATTCTTTATAATGTGGTTTACATATGTACTGTCAAATAACTTTAAAATGGCTTAAGACGGTTGTTCTACATTCATGATAATAGAAAAATGAACATTAAAACACAGGAAATCTATGGATTTGTTTTAACTAAAACTTTGTTTTTATTTCCCTGAAGTTTCAGACCCAGAGCTTACGCCTCTCAGACCTGCACAGAAAATCTCAGCTATGGAGAGGGATAGTTAGCGTTACCTTGATAGAAGGTCGTGAACTTAAGGCGATGGATGCAAATGGGCTAAGTGACCCTTATGTGAAGTTCCGTCTGGGGCATCAGAAGTACAAGAGCAAGGTAATTTTGGCTGTGGTCTACACTGCAAATAGATTCTGTTTGAAATAGTTTCTTCCTGTTTGAGCTTTTTTTGTCTTGCATAAGTACTTAAATAATGCTGGGGATTTATTAGCTGTCACAGCACCTGGATTTTTCTTCAAATGTTTGTTGTATTTCATTATAAACCAAAATAAAATAAAGCCAGATAGTAAAAAAAGAAAAACAAAACAAAACAAAAGCTCTAAAAATGGAGGCACACCATATTTTCCATACAAGCTGTTGGCTTTTGTTTCTTGCTCCTGGTCCATCATTGCAGGGGACAATTGTACAGCGATTGTGACAAGTAGATACCACATTTGTGCCTTTCTGGCTTGATGCAAGTAGACTTGCATCATTTGCATAGTGGTGTCCTCAATGAGAATCATGTTTATGTTCTCATTTTGCTCATTGTGTCCTTGCCTCAAGTTTCATTAAGTTTTTGTATGTGTTTAACATGCAAGGAGGATTGATCAGGGAGAAAATGAGAGCTGCTTTGTTTCCTTGCTATTGTTTTTATTTTCCTCATTCCTGTTGGTTTGAAAATTGCTGTTTGTGGACGATGTTGGGATCACTGATGACACACCTTCATCTTTCTATGGCCGTGACAGCCCTTGTGGTCTTTGGAGCCAGAAGAAAGCAAAAGTCAGAAAAAGGCCACAAGTGTCTGGATGTCAACTTTGCAAACCTCAGAGCCAGCCTTAGGGCCTTCTGACCTGAAATTAGGCTTATGGGGGAATTGTTGATTCCCACAGGCTACTCACAAACTGTCTAAAATATATATATATATATATTTAGCTGCTGTCTTAATTTCAACAAGTGAATTGACTGATAATCTGAACACTTTGTGTGGCATCATGTAGGGTTTCAATGCTCGTTAACTACTGTGTATAATTTTGCTTTTGAAAATGAAAAATATGCCTTGGTATTACTAAAATTTCGGTGAAGAGAAGTCTAGCAGGAATCCTAATTCAGACTGTAGTTTCTATCCCACATTTGAACTGGCTATCAAGGAAGTCAATTCCAATTCTCCTCTATTTCCATTTCTGTAACTATGGTTTTTAATATCATGTAGATTAGTGACATTTTCCCTGTCATTATTTGGATTATTTCTTTGGAGGAAAATAATGTTTCCTGTTAAGTATTTACAAAAAAAAAAAAAAAAAAAAAAAAGACACTGAAGAGGTACACTTCTTTTCAGACATCTCAGACAAAATCAGAAGATACACTTATCAGTTCGAAATACAGGAAAGATATTTTTTCAGAGGTGTAATACTGAATGATCATTATTTATAATCATGTGTCTTTACTGGAATAAGGTGGAGAGTAATTTACAGACTTATAAGAAAGTCAGAAATCTTTTTGTAGCCTTTTAACGAACAGCATGGGAAAGCACATGGGCTAATTGGCAGATCTTCATCTCAATATCCTGTACATACTGTTTGCAATAATCTCCATTTTATTTATTTTACTTTATTTTTTGTCTTCTGGGTAAAAAAGTGAAGCTATAAATTCATCACATTACACCGTTCTAGACCTGTCTTAACACTGTAAGGGAATTTATTTGTTCCTTTGATTGACTTTCAGTACCTCTATTGTGTTATGACCAATGGAGTAACTGTTCTTTACTTTTTCTGTGATGTAGGTTGGAACATGCATAGGTGCTATGTGATTGATGTACTTCCCCCCCCCAAAAAAAAACAAAACCAAAAAACTATATATATATATATATATATATATATATATATATATATTATATATATACATACATATATATATATATATGTATTATATATACATATATATCTTTGACCTTTTTAATCCCTTTTTATCCTTTGGCTTTATGATAAATAACTTCCAGTGCATAGTGTTGAGATTAAACATCTCTTAAATGGCATCAGGATCCATCTGCTGCTGTCAGTCCCCATCAATGCCTGAAGAATCATCTGGAAATCTATTTTTGTGTACTCACAGCCACCTCAGGGTCTGTATCTACCTACCTTTTCACCCCTGTTGTCACCAAGTTTTATTAAAGTGTTACTTGGTTTGAAAAAAAATATGTATATATATACTTTTAAATCTGTGCATTCTCATGTACAAATCAAAATGAAGAAATCAAATCTCATGCTTTGAGGACTTAAACGTTTCAGTAGCTTATCTAGTCCTTAATCCTCTTTAATTTTTTAATTTTTCCATTTTTTCAAGTCAGTGAAATGCATCAATCTTGAAAGTGGAGATAGCTTCATAGGCAAAGTACTAGGACAGATGTGACCACTGTTTTGCATTTTGGTTTATAAACATACAAAGCTTCTGTAATGCAAAGCATATTCAGAAGTACATGGACTGAAGTATGTTGAAGTACAAATACATCTTTTGTTAGAAGTAGCTGGACTGAAAATGATTCAGAAAACTACTACTATCTGAGCAGCAAAGGAAAGGAAGTAAACTACAGTTGTTTATTTGTTTGATTGATTTCATTATTATTTTTTTTAAATTACATTTTTCTCCCAGTATTAATGAAGCTGGGGAAAGATGAGACGACCAAATTGTTTCTGTTTAAATACTCTTAGTCACCATCTACTTGTCATTTCAGGTGCTTTGTTTTTATTTAGGCTGAGGTAATTTATAGCTAACTGCTACTCAAGGTAGGGCATGATTATTCTACAAAAAAAAATGTATCAATTCCCAGCATAAATCCTTTGTTCTGACTGCTTTTGAAGGTGACAGGCTGCAAGATTTTGGGTGTTGATGATGTGTCGAAGAAGCATAAGAGAACTGACCAATAGTCTTTTAAAATTATTTTTTAAAAATCCTCAGTCCTTGAAATACACCTACCGCAAAAAATGCGTCCTGAACACAGACTCTAAAGACCAAATTTGAAATTCAAGAGAAAGTTTGCCTTCACAATGCAATATGTCGTTCTTTTTGCTCTTTTCAGATTGTGCCAAAAACTTTGAATCCTCAGTGGAGGGAGCAGTTTGACTTTCATCTCTATGAAGAGCGAGGTGGAATTATTGATATTACCGTGTGGGACAAAGATGCTGGCAAAAAGGATGATTTTATTGGCAGGTTTGTGCAATTACAGCCTTCTAGTTCCCTGGGGATGGGAGCAGATGATTAAAATGAACCTCGCCGTTGAAACTATTTCTTAGGATCATTTGTTTTTGCCTTTCTTTTTTTCAAAGGTGGGGGAGGATTTTTCACAAAGTAAGAGTGTAATTTGCTGCATTGGTGTTATTCTTTACCTTGACGGTGTAAAATAATTTGTGTTGACCAGTAGGTGGCAGCTTTTACCAATTGATAGGTTTAGGTTTTCCAAAATGAAAACCCCGTGTTTAGAACTATAATCAAGATGCAGGAGGTTCCATATGGCAACACCCAGCATAATTCCCATGACTAGTAATAAAAATGTAATACCAAAATGATATACCAAAATGTAATACCATTTTTCAGTCTACTTGGTGAATTAAGAGTATTCTATGAAGGAAGTTCAAAAATGGTATAAATCTGTGTGATTGTGCTCCTTGTGACTGCCTCAGAGGATGATAGGTGTTTTCAAACATTTGCATAACTTGCCTTATGTTTATAGATGCTGTACAAAGACAGTGCTTCTTTGAAAGCTGAAAAGTGTTTACATCATATTTTAATAGATATCCATACATTTACAATAAAAATAGTAATTAATCCTGTATACTTTGATTGTTAGAATATTGGTTTTCAGTGTTTTCACTAGGACATTGATACTATTAAGTAGTATAATTGCTTTTTTGTGTAGTTAAAATTAGGAATGGAAATCCTACAGACTGAGCTATGTGCTTCTGAAGTCCATGTGGTTATGTTTCTACTAACCTTTTCCTCTCTGCTTCTGTTTAAGTTAATGGCTTTCTTTAGATCAATTGGATAATATTATGTGTTTATTTCCTACCATAAATAGTGGGAAGTCAAAAAAGATGCAGAATCTTTGGCAAGCAAACAGCCTTAATATCAGACAAAAGCTTTTCGAAAGCATGCATAGTACAATTCTATTTTATACAATGAAACACGGATGGAGCGATATGTTCATATTTGAAGTTCATATCACTATCTTTTCCATTTTTTGATTTTAGTCAGCACAAAGGGTAACAATGACTATTTTTCTGAAGAAGCGTAATCATTTGGACCTGTCTCAATGTGTGGCAAACCTTTGGATATCATTTCTATCTTCTGCTTAGCTTTAACCTTCTTATCCAAAACATGGTGAGTTTTGGAGGTCTCACTTAGGACTTTTCAGAACACAGACTTCAAAGCAATACTTACATTATTACTATTATCAGCAATTATAACATTAAGTTTAAAGTATTTTAAAGAGAACTGTATAAAATAAAGACACGGGTTTTGCTTCAGGGTGCTTGAAACCTAGATAAGAACAGAAACACAGAAATTAGAGTAGATGAAAAATAAGTAACTTTAGGCACATAAGATATTTAGGTAGCTTTTCAGATATCTAAGAAAGTTATAATGTCTTAAGCTTAAGTATATTTTTTTTAGTAACTGGAAGCTATCATGGAAGTAACAAGAGATTTCTACATTTTATTCAGGCCCATGAAATGTGGTAGTATGAGAAATCTTCTCTTGAAGAAAAAATCTGGACACCTTTAGCATTTCTCTGTGAGAGTATCTTGTTTTGTTTTGTTATTCACCCAAACAGTTGTAATTCCTCTATAGCTTGAATGCCAGAAAAGATGGTCCTCTGACAAAACTCACCTGCAGTGCTACTGCAGTATGGAACTGATTTCAACAAAATCGGTGGTACTTCTCCCAAAATCTCACTGCGCTTGATTTTTGTGACCTTTCTGCTATCAGCATGCTTATAACCCTCTTCACATTGTCCTTTCAGAGACTCTCATTTTCACCAGAGATGGCACCACATCTCTGGATAATGTAACCTTCAAACAAATTCTTCTCCGTGAAGAATTCCATGAAAAACTTTGTTATTTGTCAAACTCAATCTGAATACAAAAATAGGTCTTAATATTCACCTTCACTAATACTCTTCCAATCACTATGGATAAAACTCACCAGTACTTGACAGCTCTGCTTTACAGGGACCTCTTTTCCCCAGTTTCTTATTTCAAGGCTGTCTCTGAAAGCTGTAAATACTTTGGTACAGACACTACAGATTTGTTCAGAGTGTGTACTGTGATAAATAGATATTAATTTTATAAAGCAAGATTGAGTCTTAGTCCATGAGTAACATCTGAGTAAGTCTCTCAAGGCACATAGAATAAACTGAGTGTTTTAACTCGGGTTCCAGGAAAGGTCATCATGTAGGACAGAAATGAAAGACTTCCTTGTAGTGTTCTAGCGTGTCTCAGTGATGGAGAATAATCAATTTCATCTTATTATGCTCTTCCTACTTTCTTACACAATATTTGAGCAGTAGCTATTATACAGAAATAACTTTTTTAAATGAAAACAATTTTTTTCTTGAGAAACTGCGCTGTCCAGCTGAAGTATGGTTAGGGAGAAGCCAGGCTCATTTGAAGAGATCGTGCATATTGAAAGAAACAGCAGACTGAGATAATAAAACAGAATAAAAAAAGTGTAAGGAGCTGTTCTCATCTCTCATCTACAATGTGTTTCTTGTTTGTTTGTTTTTTTCGTCTGTCAAGTTCAACTGCATGCAGAGCACGGGTGAAGGTCAGCAGAATTCCCTGTGCAAAATGCAGATTGGCAATCTGCTTTGCCCGGGAGTATCCTTGTTAGAGCAACATCCCAAAAACCAGTGATTGTGGGGATGGAGAGCAGGAGTTCCCCCACGATCTTGGTGTGGATGCGTTGTGGTGGGATGAGAGACGCGATGCCTACTGGGCAGCTGCAAGTCAGGGCTCCTGAGTGGAAGATTCACGGGACAAGCTCCAGGAGCCATGCAGAAAGTGGCACTGGTAGTACCCTGGAATTGACGTATTTTTTCTGTGTTAACTTCCTAACTTGCAAATTTCATTCCAAAGTAGAATGTCATAATTTCTTCTGGAATTATATTTTGTGTCAGCTGCACCTCAGTGAAATAAAAGAACTGGGAAGTCATGAACACAGAATTCTGTGGGCTGTGTATGCATTGTCATAATCATTAGTTTGGAGCACTGTGGAGAACCAGGATGAAGTCAGGATTATGACAAAGTGGAGATGGCATGTGTGCTCAGTCTGTGAGGGCCTGGGTTTGCAATCTTTTTTTGAGGGCAGGAAGATGAAAGGAGGATGTTAGAGAAGACTGGAGACATGGAAGTGAAATTCTGGCTTTGGGTCTGCGTGACAAGAAGATGGAAGTGGAAGGAGTGGCTTGTAAGAAAAAGGAAAGTATTAAGAGAGTGAGAGTGACAGTGTGGTATCCTAATTCAGAGGAGAAAGATATATCTGTCACAGAACAAGCATAAAGCTCTATCTTCATCTTGGTACCCAGACATATGTGGTGCGGTGATTCCCAAAGTGAGATGCTGACTGCTTTATTTCCATTCTTAACTTTGAGACCTATGTGTTAGTCAAATTTGAGTTGCAATTATATGCACAATCCATGTGAGTATAAAGGATGTAGTGCATTATGAACTTTCATCTAAGAATAACCCCCAAAAAAGGAAATCCTAGAACCACTTCAGTGTTTAATTTGAGATTTCAAAAGCCTAAAAAAAGACCTCACACAAAAGCTCTGAAAAAAAATATATTTCTGATGATCTGCTGATTTGTATAAGGAAACACTGACAGATTCATGCAGCATGAAGTGAGGGATTAAATTCTGGCATTCTTCTGAAGATCATTCAAAGAAACAAAAAAATAAAAATCAAGAACCAATTATGTGAGGTCTTTTTTTTCTTTCTTACATTCTTACAAGGTTTCTTTCTTTCTTTCTTACATTTCTTACAAGCTTTCTTACATTCTAATGAGCATGTGAACTTGTAGTATTAGTCAATACTTCATCTGATAAGTAGAAATACGTAGGTACATGTATGTCTGTATGGTGTTAAGTCTGAGCATGTTTAATATTCACATGTTTTTGCTATGCGTAAATCATACCTTTTCCATATTGAGTCAATATACTACTGTATATTAAAAACACATACTGTGATACATTTATGTAGGTAATTCTATGATCAAAATGAAGGTGAAATGATTTTAATCTTCATGTAATTATTTAACTTTCTTATCATCTGTGTTTCTGAAGGCGATCCTGACTGTCACCTTTACGATAATCAGCTAATAAATCCTCATGATTGTTACACCTTTATGCATAGCAGTAATCTGAACAAATTGGCTGCTGACAGCTGCAATAAATTGCCAAGAATGAGTGCTGTCAGAGAACAAGTTGGTTCTGTGAACATACAGGATAAGTAAATCCCATGTCATGCAGTTTTATTCAGCTGAAGTTATTTGCAACCCAGTACAGCAGGATTTATAGCATTATTTATTGGTATAAAAAATGCGTGTTTATCTTAAAATGACATTGACTTTCACTCCTATCTTATGCCAGGAAATTACTGTAGACTTCATTTAAATCTATTTTCATCAGTATTTATAGATGTTACCATCTTTTATCAAACCTGGTGCAAATGAAGAACAGCAGAAGACCTTCTGCATTTTATATTCATTAAAGTTATGTATTAACTATATCAGTAGAAAAGTTCCATATGTGTTCTATAATTTCTCTGAACATTGTCATTAAAATTCAAACTGTTTTTGTGTTTGTATGTATGGGTACACACCTTATTATATTTATTTAATTTCAACCTCTTAAAATGGATGTTATGAATCCAAAGTTACAATACTGGAAATGAAATACTTTGATTTTGTTTTTCAACAGCTAATCGGCTATCTTTTGTCTGTTTAATTTTTTCATCATACTGAAGCTACAGAGTTTTTTTTGGGTGCACATAAACAGAAGCACAATGAGAGCTATACTGCTGCATTATTAATCTGAAAGCACAGTGATATACTGCTCAGAGTTCTAAACCAAAGTGGGATTTTTATATAAAATATTTATATCTTCTCAGTTTTATTTTTCCACCCAAATGTATATAATTTCACTATGGCAGACTGAA